TCTGTTGTGAAATCATCATCACCATCCATCTCTAGAATTTTTTTCAACCTTTGGACTGAAATCTTATACCCATTAAATAACAACTCCCCATTCCCTCCTTCATGCAACACCTGAAAACCACCATTTTACATTTTTTCTCTATAAATGTGACTACTCTAGATACTTCATGTAAGTAGAATCACATAGTATTTGTCTTTTTATGACTGGCATATTTCACTTAGCACAGTATTTTTAAGATTCATCTATGTGATAGCATGTGTCAGAAATCTTTTTAAGGCTGAATAACATTCTATTGTATGTATACACCACATTTTTTTTCCCCATTTATTCACTTATGAGCATTGGCTGCATCTACCTGGTTGGCTATTGTGAATAATGCTTCATTAAACACAGGTAAGCAAGTATCTGCAAGATACTGCTTTCAGTTCTTTTATATATATACTGTATTAGGCTGTCAAAATAAAATATCATAGAATGGGTGGCTTAAACAACAGAAATCTATTTTCTTACAATTCTGAATGCTAGAATTCCAAGATCAGTTTCTGGAGAGGGCACTCTTCTTGATTGCAGACAGCCACCTTCTGGTGTTGTCCTCACAGGGCCTTTCTTGGTGCATATTCATGGAGAAAGAGAGCAGTGTTTCTGGTGTGTTTTCTTATAAGAACATTAATCTTACCAGATAAGGGCTCTGCCTTTCTTTCCTCATTTAAGTTTACCTCCTTAGGGACTTTATCACCACTATTGCCTCCTTGGGGGTTAGGGCTTCAATATATCGATTTGGAAGGACACAAACATTAAGTCCATAATGTGTACAAATATCTCTTTGAGATCCTGCTTTCAATTCTTTTGAGTATATACCCAGAAGTGGAATTGCTGATTCATGTGGCAATTCTGTTCTAATTTACTGAGGAGCCACCATACTGAATTTCCATAGCTACTACACTATTTTACATTCCCATTAGCAATGCACAGGGCTTAAAATTTCTCCACATGCTCACCAGCACTAGTTCTTTTTTATTTTCTTGTTACTTGCTGTCTTTTGTGTTTGAATTGGTATCTCATTATGGTTTTAATTTGCATTTCCCTGGTGGTTAGTAGTGTTGAGCATCGGTTTATATATTCATTGGCCATTTGTATATCTTCTTTGGAGAAATACCTATTCAAGTCTTCTTCCCATTTTTTAATTGGGTTGTTTGGTTGTTGAATTATAGGAGTTTAAATTTTTTAAAAAAACATTAACCACCTATCAGACATATGATTTACAAATATTTTCTCCTATTTTGTGGGTTGCCTTTTCACTACATTTGGTAGTGTTCTTTGATACACAAAAGGTTTTATTTTTATAGAACCCAATTTTTCTTGTATTTTTTGTCCTTTTGGTATCACATAAAAGAAATCAAAACAGAGAGAAGAAGGTAGGTACAGTGGCCGAATAGAACCCTCCAGTGATTATCCCCCCCTGCTGGACCACCAAGTTGAACAACTGTCCACACAAAAAAGCACCTTCATAAGAATCAAACATTAGCTCGGATACCAGCTCTATGGAGTAGAGCAACAAGCAGTCTTCTGGATTCTCCTGTTCCAGCCTTTAGCTCCTGGATAGCATTTCTGGACCTTCTCTGGGCCAGAGGGGAGCCCACTGCCTTGAAAGGAGAGACTCAGGACTGGCAGCATTCACCACAGTCTGACTGAAGAACCGTGGGCCCTGAGTGAATATTGGTGGTAACCAGGCAATACTTGCCACAGGCCTGGGGTGATGATGGTCACAGAGAGAGACTCCTCTCCTTGAGGATAGGGGAGGGAAGAATGGGAAAGACTTTGTCTTGCAGATTTGGTGTGAATCCTGCTGCTGTAGAATATAGAGGACCAGGTAGATTCTAGTCCCTGGCTCCCAGATGGCATCTCTGGACCGAGTCAGGGCTAGAGGAAACTTGCCAACATGAAGTGAAGGAAATGAGCCTGGTTGAACTCACCACCTGCTTATTGTTTCATTTGTTTCAAGACATTTTAAAATTTCCTTCTTAATTTCTTCATTGACCCACTGGTCATTCAGGAGCATATTGTTTAATTTCCATGTGTTCCTATAGTTTCAAAATTCCTCCTATTATTGATTTCTAGTTTTATTCCATTGTGATCAGAGAAGATACCTGGTACAGTTTCTTTTTTTTTTAAATATTTGTGTTGTAGCCTAACATATGGCCTGTCTTTGAGAATGATCCATGTGCTGAGGAGGAGAATGTGTATTCTGCAACTGTTGGATAAAATGTTCCGTAAATATATCTATTAGGTTCATTTGTTCCATAGTACAGATTAAGGCTGATATTTCTTTGTTGATTTTCTGTCAGATTAATGTGTCCAATGCTGAAAGTAGGGTGTTAAAGTCTCCAGCTATTATTGTATAGGGGTCTCTCTCTTTAGCTCTAATAATACTTGCTTTATATGTCTGGGTGTGCCTGTGTTAGATTCATATATATTAAGAATTGTTATGTCCTCTTGCTTAATTGACTCTTTCATAATCATACAATGACCTTATCTCTTGTTATATTTTTTGTCTTGAAATTTTTTTTTTTCTGATATAAGTATAGCTACTCCTGCTCTTTTCTGGGTTTGCATGGAATGTCTTTTTATCCCTTTATTTTCAGCCTAGGTATGTCTGTCTTGGTGTACTGTGTTTCATGTAGGCAACAGATTGTTGGGTCTTGTGTTTTTATCCATTCAGCTCTGTATGTCTCTTTATTGGAGAGTTTCGTCCATTTATATTTCATGTTATTACTCATGAGGACTGACTTTTACCATTTTGTCACTTGTTTCTGGTTGTTTTATGGTCTCCCCCTTCTTTCCTTCCTTCCTGTATTCTTTTTAGTGAAGGTGATTTTCTCTGGTGGTATATCTGCGGTATTTTTTGACTTGTGGTTACCATAAGCTTTGTAAATAATGTCATGTAACCTCTTATTTTAAACTGTTAATAACTTAATGCTGATTGCATAAACAAACAAGCAAAGAGAAAACTAGTAAAAACTCTACAGTTTAACTTTTCCCCTACCTACTTTTTAGCTTTTTGTTGTTTCTGTTTATATCTTATTATACAATGTATGTTGTTTCTCGTTATTTAAATAGTTGGTGAATTTTGTACTTTGAATTTAAATAACATTTTAACATTTTTCCTCAGGTCTACTTAATGGAGAAAAGATATTTTACTATGTATAATTGGAAAGAGTGCTACTAATAGGAACTATATGATGTTACCCATATGATATTATGAGGATTTATTAATTCTAAGAATAGTAAATAGAAAGTCATATTTATTTAAGCTTATATTTAGATGATTTTATGCTAGTATCAGTTCTATTTTTGACAGTCAATATAAAGGATGTGTGTAAAGACTGCATGCAGATTTCTCTTCTGCATATGTAATGATTTAACACTTTTAGTAACTTTGCTCAGCATTTCCATATTTGTGCTCCAAGAAATATTAATGTCTGTTTTGAGAGAAAATGTGCCATACTTTTGAGAAACATATCATTGGAAGCTTACTGTGTACGTTACCAATTAAAATCCTCTTATTATCGCTGAAGCAAATAAATCTACTTTGTTTAACCAAACTTTTTTCCATCTGAAACATTATTCTTCTCCCAAATAAAATGTCTATTAAAACCTGAGGAACTCTTTGGAACATAGAATGGAAAATATTTCCTCTAAAAAACTGGTAAAATATTTTCCAATTTGGAAAAATACATTTTTAAAGTAAATAATATGAAATTAAATTATATAGTATGAACCAGATCCAAATATTAGCTTATATCATTGAATCATGCCAGAAAAAGAATTTTCTTTGATGGACCGTAATAAACATGCGCTAGATGTGCTATTAACATATTCTGGGATCCTTGGGCAACCACATTTGCAATAGGAAAAAGAGGAATAGGATAATCAAAGACCCCAGCCCAATTATGAGGCTTGATGACACCACCTGTTATCCATGCCCTTACCCACAATGAAAGAGTCTGGTAAAGAAGTGCATAAAGTTAAGCATTTATTGAGTGCCTATGATACACTGGGTGATTTTTTTATATGTCCTCTGATTTTTATACATTAATGTTACAAAATTCGTTATTATTGTACCTGTTTTACAAAGTAAGGACAGTGGAACTAAGAGAGTTGACTGTTTTGCCTAAGATCCCAAAGATAATCTGTGACAGAGATAGTATCTAATCTTGGTTTCTTTCTATTCTGTCATGCAGTGGTAGATGTGGTAATCATGATTTCATTATCCTTGTATTAGGGATGATCAAACTGAATTAAATTAGACTAATATTTTCAAAATTGCATATTTAGCAAGTGGTAGAAATAGGGCTTGAAATCAGGAGATTATTAGAAAAAAAAATGCAGTCTTTTTCCACCTAAAATACAGTTATTATGGCTATGTGTGAAGCATATTTGGTTCCTCCTGTAATGTTGACCTCTTGTAGCTTCTGCTATATTAACTTAAAGCAGGGTCCCCGACCCCAGGCCAGGGAGCAGTACTGGTCCATGGCCTGTTAGGAAGCAGGCTGCACAACAGGAGGTGACTGGCAGGCAATCAGCATTATGGCCTGAGCTATACTTCTTGTCAGATCAACAATGGCAGTAGATTCTCATAGGAGCGCAGACCCTACTGTCAACTGCACATGCATGTGAGGGATCCAGGGTGCACGCTCCTTACAGGAATCTCAGAGTAAACAGTTAAAACTTTCTGTATATGATTCCACTTACATGAAGTATGTAGACTAGTGAAATTCATAGAAACTGAAGGTAGAATGGTGGTTGCCAACAGTTAGAGAAACAGGGAAATTGGTATAGAGTTGCAGTTTTGCCAGATGAAAAAGTTCTAGAGATTTGTTGCACAACAATGTGAATATACTTAATATTACTGAACTGTATGCTTAAAAGAATTAAGATTGCAACTTTTATATTATGTGTAGTAGGAAAATATTACTTACTAACTTATTCTTTTTTCACAGTGATCTGCAGCCCTGGATCATATAACCCCCGTGATGGAATTCATTGCCTTCAATGCAATAGCAGTCTGGTGTATGGAGCAAAAGCTTGCTCTTAAGTCATTATCTTGAGTTATTCAGTGGTTTATTAAATGCAAAGTATATATTTGAAATATTAACATATAATAAATCATTATTATGCCAAAATTAAATATATCATATTTTACAGAAAATGGTGTCATCATTTTAATCAAATACTGTATGTCCAAATGCTTTATGAAGGTAAAAATCCTCTAGTCTTTATCCATTAATGCCAAACCTACATATGATTATAAAATGTTTCTTGTGTCACTGCATTTTTAAAATAGTTTCAAATATACTGTATCAGGTTAGCCCAAAAGATTTTTCAGGACTTTTCAGAAATATTCTGTTTTATCTTTACTATATGTTCACTAGATCCAGGCCACCATATTCTTCTATAATAACTATAACTTCAGTTTGTTTCATTCTTTTGATTTCAATTTATGAGATTTTATTCATTCTAGTTTCACCTTTCACAGTTTAAAGCCATATTTAAAGCCTGGGGTCTTACTGTAATTTTTGGCCTCTTTAATGTAAAGCCTAGTTCCAACTACACTGTGGATTTTTAATATAGTTCAATGTGACTATCTTAAACCTTTCAGTTTTAAGTCTCTTAAATTACCTTTTTGGCATTTTAGAATGGAGTAATTATTTTATGTGCCTAAATTAATAGTTGAACTTTCTCAATGGAAAGAGATAGAGAGAGAGAGAGAGAGAAAGAAAGAAAGAAAGAAAGAGAGAGAGAGAGAGAGAGAGAGAGAGAGAGAGAAAGAACCTTTATTTCTTCCGCTATGAAAATGAATATTATGTGACAGATATTACTTGTACAATCACTAATACTTATCCTGTCTCACATCGGGATGCTATATTTGAATATGAAATATAAAATTTTAAATATTTAAATTCTAGGAAACATGAGTAATTTAGAAAATGAGTAGTTTCTCAATTTTCTAATTATTATTTTATTTATATTTGTGTCAGCTTTCAAGCATTCAGTGTTTTGCTCTTCATAATTTCTCTCTTAAGACATAAACATTTATAAATGGCACACATACCCCATGTTGGATCTGGGCACAAATGTGCAATACATTGACAGGAAGACAGTTCACCTATACCTAGGATATATTAGACTTTTAAAAATGAACTAGTTAGTTGATAAATTAGCCTCTCATTTTTCCATCCTATATATAGTTATGACTGTAGAATTCTCACACAGACACAAAGGGAAGATAACTGACATGTGACTGGACTGTGTTATTAGCCCTGGTAATGTTTTTCTTGGAAAATTCCTTGGGTTTTCATCATCATGTTGTAATTGTTTTTATGTGGTTTAGAGACGTGTTCAAGTGCCTTCTTTCTTCTAGTAAAAGACATATATACATTACACTGTTTGGGTGAGTTACTGTTCTTCCCAAAGTTACTAACACATATATTTTGTAAATAGTAAAAGACCTACTACACCCCCACCTCTAAAAGCAGTGTAATCTACTAAAGTTTCAAAGTTTCTTAATTGTATAATATATTAGAATACATATTCTTTCCTTTTTGTTCTTTATGTTTGTTTACTTTTTACCTATATTTAAAGTCTCTTAATAATTTAACTTACAATGCATTTTTCTGAGGCATGAACAGCATCCCATCAACAGCCTGGGAAAGCAGAGGCGCCGAGTTGTTACACTGGTGATAAGTACCGGGGATCAGAATGCAATCATGCAAAGATAGGTGACCCCAGGTAAGAGGAGGTGAGCAAAGGAGTGGGATGAGAGCAAATTCATGCATTTTTAGCTATTGGCAGACCAGAATGAGACCACACAAACATCTGAAGGCAGAAGAAGGTAAGACTTTTAAAGTCCAGGCAAAGAAAACAAACTGTAGAAATTGAAGTAAAGGATAAAATAGGAGAAGGAAGGGAAGCATTAACTACTTCTTTTTCTTGGGTTCCATAGTAAAATGTTCTTTGCTGTATTGTATTGCTTATCACATTTATTTTAGTTGATTACGTTTGTCTTCCACATTCAGTTATGCTAGGATACTCCTAGCTTCATGGGCTTCTTTGTAGCACATAGTTTTATGCTTAAAAATTTTTTAAATTAATGAATAGATCATTAAAGTTCTTTGAGTATAAATAGTGATTAAGACAAAAGTTGCTTCTATGTCGAAAGTTATTTGAAGTGATGGCAGTGTGTACAACAAAAATGATAAACTAATCCCTGAGAGATTATTATAAAGCAGTTTCAAGTGTTTTTTGTTTGCATCAAAATAATATCTTACATTTATATCATGCTTCAATTTTCACAAAACATTTTTAGTTATTATACAATCTGATAATTATACCAGCCTGTGAAATTAGTAGGGCAAATATAATTCCCAATTTATATTTTTTATTAATTTGGTTTTTTTTTAAATTATAAATATGTAAGGTGTGTTTATTTGGCAATATGGTAGAAGAGCCTTAACAATTTTGGTCCAGTAATCTCAATGGAAATTTTACTACAGAAGTAAATCAAAAACAAAGTGAAATATTACATCCAATGGTATTAATTTCTGTATTATATATAATAATGAAAAGGAAAATAATATAAATGACTTACAAAATAATTGGTTGAATAAATTATGCTGTTTCCATTTGATAGAATATTATCGTACCATTAAAATCACATTTACAAATTAATTAAGATTATATACACATGTGTACAATTGTTATCTGTATTGTGTACATTTTTAAACCAAATACACCAAAATGTTAACAAAGGTTGTTTCATGTAATGGGATCATGTGTGAGGTTTTTTTTTTTTTTTTTTTATGCCCTATGTTTTCCAAATTTTCTGCAGTGAAATGAATTATATTCACAATCTTGGAAGCAATAAATGTACTTTGAAAAGTTAAAATAGGAGCCAAGTAGAGAAGACATTGCTTATCTCTCCAATATCAATTCACTTTTCCCCTTCTTCCTAACAGAGCACCAAGTTTGTTTACTCCAGAGAATGATTCTTTTAGCCAGTCAACACATAGCTTTTCTGGCCATTGCCTTGTGACCATGAGTTGAACCAGCTTGAGGGTGAAGGCCACAGTGAAGACACACAGTGAAGATATAAAAAGAACTGGAGCATTCATGATGGTGTTGAATTACTAGTCCTTATTTTACCTGAACCCCAACCTGTCCTAGACTTCTTAGTTCTGTCAAATAGGAAAGTTTCTTTTGTTTAAGCAAGTTGGGTTTTCTGTTACTTGCAACTAAAAATATTCTAAATGATACAGTATTAATTACAGGAAATTTGTAGAGGATTAGAAGTAAGGGGAAAATACCACTTATAGTTTCATAACCTGAATGTCAGCAATGTTAACATTTTGGTAAATTTCCTACTTTTGTGTGAACTTTTTATTCATCCTATAGGTACCATATGTAGCAAGTATTTTTCTTAATATTGTGATGGATATATTTCCATACTATTTTATTCACCCCTTTAACATAATTCTGAGACTATAATATTCATACATTTCAGCAGAAAAACTAGAATATGGTTTGTGTGTGCCCACTGTGCTCATAAAGACATGCCCAAGACTGGGTAATTTCTAAAGGAAAGAGTTTTCATTGACTCATAGTTCCACATGGCTGTGGAAGTCTCACCCAATCATGGCGGAAGGTGAGTGAGGAGAAGAGTCATGTCTTATATGGTGGCAGACAAGAGGGTATGTGCAGGGGAACTCCCATTTATATAACCATCATATCTTGTGAGGCTTACTACCAGGAGAATGGTAGGGGAGAAACTGCCTCCATGATTCAATTATCTCCACCTGGCCTTGCCTTTGATATGTGGGGATTATTATAATTCAAGGTGAGATTTGGGTGGGGACACAGCCAAACCATGTCATTGTATCTCTTACCCCTCCCAAATCTCATGTCCTCACATTTCAAAATCAATCATGCCTTCCCAGCAGTCCCCCAAAGTCTTAATTCATTTCAGCATTAACTCAAAAGTCCACAGTCCAAAGTCTCGTCTGAGACAAGGTGATTCCCTTCTGCCTATGAACCTGTAAAATCAAAAGCAAGTTAATTGCTTCCTAGATACAATGTGGCTACAATCATAGGGTAAATACACCCATTCCTAATGGGAGAAATTGGCCAAAATGAAGGGGCTACAGGCCCCATGCAAGTCCAAAATCCAGCAGTGCAGCCAAATCTTAAAGCTCTGAAATGATCTTCTTTGACTCCAGGTCTTACATCAAGGTCATGCTGATTCAAGAGATGGGTTCCTACAGCCTTGGGCAGCTCCACTCTTGTGGGTTTGCAGGGTACAGCTCCCCTCCTGACTGCTTTCACAGGCTGGCATTCTGCAGCTTTTCCAGGCAAACAGTGCAAGCTATTGCTGGATCTCCCATTTCTGGGTTGTGAGGATGATGGCCCTCTTCTCACAGCTCCACTAGGCAGTGCCCCAGTGGAGACTCTGTCTAGAGGCTCCCAGCCCACATTTCCCTTTCACACTGCTTTAGCAGAGATTTTCCATGAGAGATCCACCCCTGCTTCACACCTCTGCCTGGACATCCAGGTATTCCCATACATTCTCTGAAATCTAGCAGAGGTTCCCAAACCTCAATTCTTGACCTCTGTGTACCTGCAAGCCCAACACTGCATGTAAACTGTCAAGGCTTGGGGCTTCTTCCGTCTGAAGCAATGGCCTGAGCTGTACATTGGCCCCTTTTAGCCACAGCTGGTGCCGAAGCAGCTGGGATGTGTAGGGCACCGTGGCCTTAGGCCTCACAGAGCAGGGGGGCTCTAGGCCTTGCCCACAAAACCATTTTTTTCCTTCTAGGCCTCCAAGCCTGTGATAGGAGGGGCTGCTGTGAAGGTCTCTGACATGCCCTGGAGACATTTCCCCATTTTCTTGGTGAGTAACATTTGGCTCCTCATTACTTACGCAAATTTCTGCAGCTAGCTTGAACTTCTCCCCAGAAAAGGGGTTTTTCTTTTCTATCCCATTGTCACTGCAAATTTTCTGAACTTTTATGCTCTGCTTCCTCCTGAACACTTTTCCACTTAGAAGTTTCTTCTAATGGGTACCCTAAATCATCTCTCTCAAGTTCAGAGTTCCATAGATTTCTAGGGTGGGCAAAATGCCACCAGTCTCTTTGCATAG